CGTTTATTACTTCTGTAACTCAGTAGAATGCCAATAAAATTAATAAAAAAAAAAAAAAAAAAAAAATAACAGAAATGGATCTTGACCCTTTAACCCTTAAAGTGACCAGTATTCTATTTCTCCTCACAACATCATCCCTGAATCACGCATTAAGGTTACGAGAATTAAGGGAATGATCACCAAAAAAGAAACTCTTGATTCTTAGACAAATTCTTCTTATTAGCACCTTAGGAGATGTATAGAGAACAGTATGGAGAATATGCATACTGATGTTAGGTTGCAGCTGACACTCCCTTGTAAACAGTTGCAGACACTTTTGAAAGTGAAAATTAGATTGTTCTTTTGTTTATCCTCTCATGATAGCTGACACCCCATACATACTAATTGACTCTTGGCAATGAAATTTGTCTTTAATTTGCAAATCAACAAAAATATCTCCTTTGACAAGGTAACAGAACAGTGGGGATCTGTTGATTCAAATCTCCATTTGGCCAAAAAAAGTGCAGTTAACACCTGCTTATGAACTCTCCTGTAAGCAGATATCAACGCTATATTTCTTTGGTGTCCACTTATGTGATTTATGCTAATAGGCAGACAGCTCTACTAACAGACACTTTTCTCTCAATTCCTTAAGGTGTCTGTCTATGAGAGAGTTGACTACAGAGTGTAACTACAACCATGAAAAGACTTCAAAGGAACAATTGTTTCCCATCCCTTAAAAGAATATGATGAAAGAGTACAAAGTGCAAAAAGTTGTAATTAAACCTTTGCAGCCTAAAATGGATATCTATATTCTCCATACTGTTCTCTAAACATTTCTTAAGGTGTTGATAAGGAGAATTTGCTTAACAATCAAGAGTTTCTTTAGTTTGCCACCATTTGTGTTATTCTTGTGACCTTAATGTTTGATTCAGAGGTGATATTGTGAGGAGAAATTAGATGTCAATCACTCTCAGGAGTTAAAGGGTTAAGGTATTTTGAAATGGCAGATGGGTTGTTTTTGTGTTTCACTAATTTTTTCCAAGAATTATGTGAGGCAAGGTATAAACAAAGGCCAAAATACAGCCCTATGTGAATTGAAACCACAACTACTAGATTTTTCAAAATGACTCAGTGTCGTGAAGATTTCAGAGTCTCATTTCTTTTTAACTCTTACCTATGGTGGATCCAATGTCAGGGTCAAATGTGTCATCAGTGAATCTTAGAAGCAGGCTGTGATTAGAAGCAGACAGCATGAAATAAAGAACTTCACAATAACGACAAGGACACCGATTTGTGCGGTTGAGATCGACGGCGAATTGTCACATGAAAGACAACAGCAAAACAATTCGAGAACAAATCTACATGGAAGAACTTTTAAAAATGAATTGATTTAAAACTTAGAGCATGTGACTTTGAATCTATTCACAATGATCCTCTGTTATGATACACGTTCGTTACTGCCATATTTCGAATTCGGAAGCCTTTGACTCCGAAACGATTTTTGTACCTGGATTTTCCAACGCCACTTTCTCCACTAATTAAGATCTTTAGCGTGGTAAGAACATCGTTATCCATCTTTCAAATAAAAGTTTGATCTTTAAACCAGCTCCAATTTTATATACTAGTTGATTTATCGCTGAATTCGGCCAAAATCTAGGAGAATTCCATTCACTTCATCATGGTTATATTTTTACTTCGTAGATACGGCTTTACATTTGTGGACAAGATCGCTGATAACTGGAAGACCCCTAAAGGATCATGGGTGGTCCGTAAACTTCAATCAAAAGGTAGTCCCTGATCAAGATGTAATAAGCGAACGCATCCTTGACAACTTATCTTTTAAGGCAGCCTCCTCTCCCACAAAAAAATACCTACGTCACTCCTCAGTATCCAAATCGTCATATGGGTATAATTTCAAGTATTATTCCCTGTCAGGACCCCATGTCTAAACTTCACACTTCAGGGGTCTTAGAAAACTTTTTAAATATTTTTATCATGTGATAAAAAGATGAATGACATGAGTTAAATTATTTTAACGTATTCGAGTTTTCATTCGTTTTCCTGCTTTGGGCTTGAAAAAGAAGTCGAATCGGCTTGGTTTAGCGAACAATTTTGAAATGTTTTAATTCCCGACCCACAGTGAAAGTGAACAAAACAAATAGTTTGATTGAATGCAACAGGAGCATATTTCGATTGAGCATTGTGGAAGCGAAACCGAAGTAATCTCAACGGCCAGTCAAAACAAAGGGAAATAACACAAGGAGCCATTAATAAATTCAGTTAAAGAGAAGAAATATAATAGAGTGGTGGAAGTTTTCTGGATCAATCAAAAAGTGACGTCAAGCAAAACCAGTGCAATTTTGTATTACTATGGACATTCAATTGAAATTGCTTGTAACAATAAATTTGATAAGGAGAGGGCCCCTTATAATCCATTGTGATAACATTCTTCCACTCTTGACCATGAAATCAAAACGGCCATATGTTAAGTTCGATAGACATGCGTCACCTCAAAGAATATGCCTTCAAGCAGCCTCGTTTCTGGGGTCCTCATGGAAAGAAGAAAGAAGATTGTGAGAACGAGATTACCCAGAATGCTTTTCTTTAGGAAGAAGGGGAGAGAAAATGAATTGAGAAGTCACGGCGTCAGAATGACATGTCGGGCGTAAGAATTTGTAGCAGGTTTACAACGAGCATCTTTCGTGAGAGAGAAAATTAGGAAGCCGGCAGACTTAGCATGCATAAACATTTTAAGGGAGGGGATTACTCCATGCAAGATCCATACAAAAGGCTCCAACTGAAATCGAAATCAACAAAACGGCTCCCTGCCCCTTAGGAAGGCAGCAATAACAAAGGTTTCTATTATTTTGTATTTCCTCTCTTCCCTGAATCGTCTCCAATCAACCTCAAAGCGCGGGTAACCGACACGGGCAGTGTGAGAGCGCAAAGTGTGATGGGTAAGGAGTAAGCGAGAGAAAGACTCCTCGTCGACCTCCTAACCATCACCCTTCCTTCCCACTTTAGTACCGCGCACATTATTGGAAACGACTGGGGACGAGTCAGCCTTTGTCAGGTTTCAGGATACAAAGGCCATTTTCAATGACCGAGAAAAATTAAAAAACTCATTTTAAATGACGATCTGTACTTCAAAGGGGGGAGACAGCTGTCTCCAGGTATAATAAGAAACTGCATTAATTGAACTTTTTATAACGTTGTATTTGCGTAACCGGAAATACGTTGAAGGTAACTTGATAAACAATGTAGAAACAGAGAAAACGCGATATTCTGCGAAATGACTCAGATTTTATCAATGGTTATTAGTAGTCGCAACCCAAACATGGTCAGATCCAAGGATTTTTTTTCATAGATGGCAAGCAGCACTATCATAATATACTTCTGCTGAAAATAATAAAGATTACCGTATTTTCTCGGTTATAAGGCGCACTCGGTTATAAGACGCACCCTGAATTTTTGAACTCGTTTCTTTCAAGTTGTTAAACCGAAAATTTTGCCAAAATACCCGGTTATAAGACGCAACCTCAACTTTGGACTTTTTCACTATCTTCACTTTCAAAACAATAGTGTTTTCAAAGTTCCTAATTTAGTCATGTCATTTTTTTTAACAAAAGGCAAAAAAGTCACACATTTGCACGAACAAAGCGAAAAAAAAATCACACCTATAAAAGAGATCTAGCTACCGTGAATATAGTCTGCCTTCGTAGGAAACAGTGTTACTTTCTAAAGCTATGAATACTAATTGATCCAGTTTAAGCTTTATAAGCATGTCTCAGCTGGTCGAACTCCTACATGAGAAGACACAAGTGCTTTTCGCCTTACGCAATAGGCGATTACATGACATAGCTGTGTTAATGTTTAAAGTTAAAAATGATCTGTGCCCTAATAATATCAAGAACCTGTTTGTTATTAATAACAACAAATATAATTTAAGAAACAATGATTTCATTATCCCTAGATTTAGTACTACGCGCTATGGTAAGCACTCTCTTAGGTACTTAGGTCCAGTAATCTGGTCTAAGTTAGATGGAAAAATAAGAGCACTAAGAACGCTGCAAGAATTTAAAAACGCTTTACATAAAGTAGATATACAAAGTTTAATCTCTTCGAATAATTGCAAGAACTGTATTTTATGTAAATCTTAAATATTTTAAATATTATCAAGATCATATTATTGTAATTATTATTATCTTATTATCTCATTATATTAAGGTTATTATCTTATTATACAGGGTAGGGTATTATAAACATGGGGTCTACTATTTCGGGGTAGGGTAGTTTTATATGGGAAGAGCTCTTTTATCATATTCCAATAAATTATATAGATTAGATTAGTTTAGTTTAGGTGTCCTTACTTAGTGGGAAACTGCTATCTTATTTGACACGTAAATAAAGTTTATTATTTATTTTATTATTATTTGCACTGTAAGTATTAAGCCCGCTGGGCTCGTCTTTTTCAGGTGTGATAATCCCGAAGTTAATTTGATTTAATCTCATTAAATATGTCATGGGCCGACTAGCTTAAATTATCAACACTCTCGAGTTAGCAGCTGGATAATGTTACTATGTCGATATTCGAATGTCATGGTTTTTGCCTGCCTATCTTTTCTTTGCAGTTTCGTATTTCAAACGCGTGATTCAGTGGCAGTAGAGATGGCACCTAGGAAGGTTTCTCGCTCTTCACTCCGGTCATCAGCCCTGAATTAAGTCCACAATTGACTTGGTTTATTCTAAGTTCGAAAGTTTGTGGATCAACGCCGACGCAATACTTTAAGCGGTCGCCTGTTGTCGCCAGTTGTCCAAGCGATTTTCAAAGAATAGACAGTGCCCACATTCGGCTGCTAGATGGCCACCATTACTCGAACAAGAAGTCCTCTAATGCAACGGAAATTGTCTGTTCCTCGTTTGGGTTGATAACCACTCTGCTTCGCCGTTCCTCTTCAGAAAGCTCTGAGTTCATTTCGCAGCTGAGAGATTTGCTGAACTCAGTAGATCCCAGTAAAATGTCTATCGACGAAGAAAATGAAGGCCAAGCAAACAAAGAACGACCACGTGCTTCACGATGCTTGGAAATGCCAACGACACCAACGAACAAGACATCATCTGTGGCCATGACACCCCCAAACAGTGGAAACTCGCAAAGAGCTGAAAAAAAGAATGTTTCCCCAAATCTAAAGGAGATCAGCGAAAAGGAAGATTTGGATACTCCAGAAAAGGTGCTGTTGATGAAGCAGCGAAGCAGCGCGTCATCAAGGACGTGCATGCGAAAGAAACAGGGAAAGTTTGGCGATGGTGCTTTCGAACATGTGCGCATCTGGCGACCCAGAAGCGAAGGCCATCGTCAATGAAATTGTCGAAGAGATGGCTGTAAAAAGGGGAGTAAAGAGGAGTGTGGAAGAGCTAGTTGGCGACTGTGCTGTATTCGATTTACGTTTACATTAATTCAGCCTCGCTTCCGTTCATGATTCGATGTATGATCACTTCCGGTAATGGCGACGACACATGTTAGAAATTATTAAAAGTTCTGTGTTGAAATCAAAGAATATATCTCCGTTTCTCGTGCCATCCGAACACCACATGGTGTCAGAAGTGAACAAGAAGATATAAACTGTGTCCAGAACGGATATTTAGCGATCAGTGATCAGGAATTACGCGGAAATATGGCTACGAATCTTCCACCACCGAAAGCTCTTTGTCTATCGGGAAATGCAAGTGAGAATTTCAAGTTGTTCAAGCAGCAGTACGAATTATATGTGAACGCCATTGGATTATCTACTGCCAGTAAGGAAAGGAGAAGTGCAATACTGCTAAATCTCGCAGGTGAGGAGGCGCTGAAAATCTACAATGGCTTCACATGGGCTCCAGCGGTAGGTGACCCCGAAGGGGAGGAACATGTACCAGCAGAGGACAAACTGGATCCGGAATTAATTCTGGAGAAATTCCAGAGGTTCTGCACGCCGAAAACAAATGTTACTTATGAACGTTACAAGTTTCACAGGTATACGCAATCAGAAGGTGAGAGTTTCGATAATTTCTTACCACAAATTAACACTCTCGTGTCTACGTGTGCCTACGGTGAACTAAAGGACGATTTTGTCAGAGATAAGATCGTATTGGGTATAAATAGTGATAAGGTCAGAGCACGGCTGTTGAGAGATGGTGAACTGACTTTAGAAAAAGCGATAAATGAGTGTAGAGCAGAAGAATGTTCTGGAAGGTGGGCTCAGGATATAAAAGGAGAGACTTCTAAAGTGCAGGCAGTTCAACATAGGCGGAAAGGAGGCCCTCGTGACAAGGGACCACGTAGTAACGGGCAGCAAAGAAGTGCATCAAATTGCTCCCAGGCGTCGAATAGCCGGTCATGCCGGTGGTGTGGAAAGGAGGTGCACCCCAGAGAAAGATGCCCTGCAAAAGACAGTAAATGTAACAAGTGCAAACGCCCAGGACATTGGGGCAAGGTCTGCAGGAGTAGTAAAGGAAAAGGGTCTGTACAAGAGGTAGCAGAAGTGCAGTCTGACTCAGATGAGTACTACTTCTTAGGAAGCATCAGTGATGAAAGTTACTCTATTGAGAGTATCAACAACAGGAAACGTAGGAGTGCATGGTTTACGGAAGTCCAGGTGTCAGGTCAGAGCCTGAAATTTGCTGTTGATACTGGAGCAGATGTGACAGTCATTTCCAAAGTTGTGTATGATACACAGTTTTCACACTTCATTTTGCAGAAGCCTGACAGGCCTCTTAGTGGCCCAGATCAAAGCAACCTTTCAACTCTTGGATTCTTTACTGCAGAACTAAAGAAAGGTGATCAGACAATCACAGAGGATATATATGTGTTCCCCAAAGGCTCTCTATTGCTAGGTAGAGACGCTTGTGCAGATCTAGGTGTCGTTAAGTTCATTGGAAAAGTTACGTCAGATCCTATCCAGTCAGCGGAGTTCGGATCAATGTTCAAAGGCTTAGGAAAGCTAGAAGGAGAATATAAGATTAAGATCGAGCAAAACGCAGAGCCATACAGTGTGATGACTCCCAGGAGGATATCTATTCCACTACTTCCTCTAGCCAAAGCTGAACTTGACAAGCTTATCGAGCTAGATGTTATAGAACGGTGCACAGAACCATCGGAATGGTGTTCTCCTATGGTTGTGGTGCCTAAAGGAAATGGCAAAGTGAGGATCTGTGTGGATCTCATGAAGCTTAACGAAGTAGTGAAGAGAGAAAGAATCATGCTCCCCACAGTGGATTATACAATTGCTCTGATGGGAGGTGCTAAGGTTTTCTCTAAACTGGATGCCAATGCGGGCTTCCACCAAATCTGCTTGGATGAAGATTCAAGGAAACTGACCACGTTCATCTCATCATTTGGTCGATTTCGATATAAGCGAATTCCCTTCGGTATCAAATCTGGCCCTGAGAAGTTTCAGAGTGAGATCTACCGAATACTAGGTGGTCAACAAGGAGTGGTATGTCTCATGGATGACATTGTCGTGTTCGGAAAGAACCAGGAGGAACATGACGAGAGACTCGTACAGACATTAACACGGCTGAAAGCAGCAGGTGTCACCTTGAATAAGGATAAGTGCCAATTCAGCAAAAGCCAGATTGACTTTCTAGGTCATCGGATCGGAGTTAATGGTGTGGAAAGCTCTCCAGAGAAGGTTGAGGCTATATTGAAAATGCGTGCTCCAGAGAATGTGAGTGAGGTAAGAGGTCTGATGGGTACAGTGAACCAGCTCATGAAGTTTGTACCCAACCTTGCTACTATGACACAACCCCTACGTGAACTCTTGAGCTCTCACAGTGCATGGTGCTGGGGTCCAGCACAGGAACAGGCTTTTAAAGAGATTAAACAATGCTTGACGAGCAGCCCAGTGTTGCAAATATATGATCCTTCACTAGAGACCAAGGTGTCAGCAGATGCGTCTTCATACGGACTTGGCGGAGTGCTTTTGCAAAAGCACGGTGACAGGTGGGCGCCAGTGGCGTATGCGTCCAAAAGCCTTCTGGATGTAGAGAAAAGGTACGCCCAGATTGAAAAGGAGGCCTTGGCTAGTACCTTCGCATGTGAACGATTCACAGATTACATTCTGGGAAAGGATATTATACTAGAGACTGATCATAAGCCTCTTGTACCACTGCTATCCACGAAGGAGTTGGATCAACTACCCGTACGTATTCAACGAATGAGAATGAGGCTCATGAGATACTCGTTCACACCTGTTCATGTGCCAGGAAAACTGTTGTACACTGCCGACACGCTATCCCGTTCTCCAACACCAGCCAAATCAGGTGATTCATTTCATGAGGAAGTGAACTTATATGCTCATCAAGTCATAGCTGGAATGCCTATCAGTGATAGCAAATTAGATGATATTATGATCCATCAACAGGAGGATGAAGCATGCAGGCAAATTATGAACTATGTAGCTGAAGGTTGGCCTGAAAAACATAATGTCAAGGGTTTAGTCAGCCCTTATTTTGCTCATAGAGCAGAGCTGACAGTGGTTAAAGGGCTGTTGATGATGGGACCTCGAGTCGTTATACCATCGTCTATGAAATTGGAAGTCCTGGATAAGATCCACGACGGTCACCAAGGGATTGTCAAGTGCAAGGCATTGGCCAGAAACACAGTGTGGTGGCCAAGCATGATGAAGAATATAGAGGAGTTAATTGAAAACTGTCGCAAGTGTCAGTCTAACAGGAAAAATCCTCCAGAACCTCTAGTTCCTACCATGCTCCCACAACGACCATGGCAATACATAGCCACTGATGTCTATGAACTCAATAAAAGACTGTATTTAGTAATGATTGATTACTACTCCAGATGGATAGAGGTAGCTAGTCTGAGTTCAACCGCCTCAGCAGAGGTCATAGACAGGATGAAACGTGCATTTTCCAGATTCGGAATTCCAGATCAAGTAAAATCTGACAATGCCAGCTACTATACATCAAGGGAATTTAAGATGTTCACTTTAGTTACGGGTTTCGACATGTCACTAGCAGCCCAGGTCATGCTTCAGGCAACGGTGAAGCAGAGAGAGCAGTGCAAACAGCTAAACGTCTCCTAGCTGGCTCTCAAGATCCTTATCTTGCTTTTACTACAGTATAGAGCGACACCATTGGCTAATGGTTATTCTCCAGCTGAGCTAATGATGTCAAGGAGGCTAAAAACCAAAGTGCCGGTGGCCCCGTCTCAGCTGTCCCCAAACCTTGTGCAGAATCATGCCCTACGTCAGTTTGAAGACAATCACAAAACCAAACAGAAGCTGCACTTTGACAGAAGGCATTCAGCGAGGCCTCTTGTTCCCTTAGAGAAGGGAGATGAAGTGATGGTACAAGACAGAGGACAGTCTGGAATAGTAGTGGAGAAGTGCACACCTCGTTCTTATGTGATCCATACGGACACTGGGTCATATAGAAGGAATAGAGTACAGATCAACAAGATACCACCCCCACCCCCAGCTGCAGCTACATCTCCAGCCAAACCCACACCGGTGCCAGTACCTCCATCACCTAAACTTCCTTCACCCCAAACTGCTAACACTGCAGAAGGAACTGGCACATCAAAAGTGTACACCAGATCTGGCCGTCAATCTAAGCCCTCATCTAGATTGAAGGATTATGTGCCATAAGTGAAGTTATACTTTCTGGCCAGATTTTCTCTGGTTTCTCAGACAGAAAGTCATAACTATGAACGCGTATTCTAGTGTGTGTGAGACTTAGTGCAGAGACAAACGACAATAGCTACCCAGGATGTGTTTCTTAACAAAATGACGATTACTTGAGGACATTTGATTGACGTTGTTTTGATTTTGAATTTCACGCTAGATAAGAAACAAGTATGTCTAAGTAGTTTCTCTTTTATTATCTTAAAGGGGGAGATGTGCTGTATTCGATTTACGTTTACATTAATTCAGCCTCGCTTCCGTTCATGATTCGATGTATGATCACTTCCGGTAATGGCGACGACACATGTTAGAAATTATTAAAAGTTCTGTGTTGAAATCAAAGAATATATCTCCGTTTCTCGTGCCATGCAAACACCACAGCGACGACACAATGTCGAAGTACGTGGCGTGCCTGAGAGTTCCTGATTGGAAGCTTGTCCTTTTCCAGGCGATGGCGAGAGTTTCTTCGAAAACGTGGCAATCCGTGATAAACATCACAGGGCTCAGAAGGACGGGGGTAAGATGTTTAGTTACGTTGGTCTTACGTCGGTATAATATTAATATTCATACTTGGCGCCCTGGCTAAGGGAATAAAAGAACAAAAAAGAACTATTCCATCGCGAGCCTCAATGTTTATAGCAGCTCTTTCTTTTGTTTTATTCAGTTATTCTTGTAAGCGAAGCCTTGTACGGGAAAAGATAAGCAGGCTTTTTTTATTACTTAAGCGGGCGTTTTACTCAACTGCGTCTTCAAAATTACCCTATGTCTGTTTTCCAGAGCAATTTGAGCCAGTGGTAAGCTCTTTTTCAGCTGGTGAAATATGCTGGAAGCCGGCTCTTAGTGACAAACCCTGGACCATTAATATAGAAGGTCATCGCCCTACTTCCTATTAATATTCCATGACACCAAGTGTAAATTTAAAATATAATCTTTAAGTTTTTTCCCTTGAAATTCTGTTGATAGATGCTGTTTGAACTGGTAGAGCTTTATTCATCAAGAACTCAAAAATATATATGAGGAAAATAAGCAGTAAAAGCAGTACTTTAACTCATTTTTTTCAAATTTGAAGAACATAGGGCTGGCAAAGTGATAAAAGTTTCTCATAAAATGGTCACAAAGACCCTTGCTGACTGTAGCAATGTTATTGTTACAGGTCAAATTATGTTCAAGGGAAGATTTTTTAACCTACAGAGGTTGATTCTCTGTTTCCTTTGTTTCCTAGGACTAGTAGGAGACAAAGGAAACAAAGAATCAACCTAGATTAAAAAGTTTAATCTTTGCTTTTTATCACCTTGCTTTCTATTATTTTCTTAGAAATCCTCTCACACGCCTCTCCTCCTCAACTTAAACCAGATCAAGGCAGCTAAGAAGATGGTTTTTGGAGCTTGTAAGGAGTATATGGGGGTTAAGAAGGTGGCTCCTCCTATACAATGTTTCTCTGTGAATTTAAGTTCTGTTGTGGAGTTAATCGTAATGGAACAAAGGCTGCACCAGCTGTCTTCACATGCTTTGCGACTGATGATGAAGCTTGATGGGAGACCATTTTGGGGTAAAATTATGTGATAATGCATGCTGTCTCTGCAGTTTTGTCTGTAAATTATTTTATTATTATTGTTATAAAAGGTCGTTCCCCACGTATGATAATCATCCACATATTTTTTTTGTGTGTGTGTGTTGTACCTCCAAATCAAAATAACTATAACTGTTAAATTTTTTGGCCTTGCAAGCAGTTCTTTGTATGGAAGGTGGTCATTATAATAATGTGTAAGGTGAAATGGGTTGGTGAAGGGTGCAGTACTAATTTAGTGTAAAAAATTGTTTTGCAGGTAGAGCTCAGGTGTTGTTTGGAATTGTTCCCCGTGATGGTGCTGTATATAGCCTGGAAAGTGCAAAATCAGTCTACCCATTGACAATTGCCAACTGTAAAGAAGACAGTTTTATGAATTGCAACTTGCTTGAACTCTTTACTACCTTCTGGCTTGAATATGCTTGTGGTTGTATGTGCATTTAACTTAAATAACACAATGACAGATTTTTGTAAGCCCCACTCAGTTGCAATATCACCAGGTCATGCATCCACTCTGAGATCTAAGTGGATTGATATCAATATCCCTAATTTGGCTTTAATGCACTAAATATAACAATGACTGTATAGATTTTTGGTTTTTGTTTGTTGACAGAGACAACCTCAAGATTCTTTTTGAGGACATCAACCACCAGAAGAAAATATTTAAGGAAAAAGGAATGACAGTTGATGGTAGACATTATACCATTGAATTTCTGGGTAAGAATCAATGTTAGTCTTGGAATTTGCTTTAAAAGTCAACTTCTTGTTCATGATACTATTTATAGCAATTTATTGTGTTTCTACCCAGTTGGTAGTCTGACTAGAACTAGATTGAAGCAGTAGTCAAACTATAGTAAATTAAGAGTTTTTTTATATTGTAAAACATGTTCAAGGTTTAACTGCCGCAGCAAGAAATAAAACCTGGAATTTATTACTATTTTACGTCAGAAATTGATTTGACTACCCTTTTCTTTAGATACATTAGAGATTAATTTCCTGGAAAGTTTAGCATGTTAACTTTTGCTTTCCCATTTCTGTTAGCAAACTTAGTTGTACTGGACTACAAGACCTTGGTACTTCTTTTGGTGAAGAAGACGAATGCTTCATTCATGTTAGGTGGTAGAGGTGTCAGTGTCGAGTTCTGTTTCATCTACAATGCTATCAGGGTAAAGTACTCAAATGATATAGAAATTAGTATGGGGCAACTGCAACTTGTGCTGTTAAAGTTGAGGTACATAAAAGTGCTGCATCAGTTCATCAACTTTTTTTACAGTGATTTCAGATGACTTTGATCTTTGCCAATATTTGGGAAAATAATTAGTGAGTGATAGAAACATTAAGTAGCTTTAATTCAGTCAAAAAAAGTTGTAAAGTACTACTCTAAAGGTCATTCTGCTTTAAAACATTTAAAAATCACTGAAAGTATGAATACATGTACTGTAAAAAGAACAGGGCTCACACAGAGTCATAAATTCTTGGAAAAGTCTTGATTTTCCAGACCTGGAAAGAGTCTTGAAATTGAAGATAATGTCTAGAAAAATAGTTCAAGTCTGGAGTTTTTTTATAACTACAAAAAGTGCTTAATAAGTTAGTTTTTTCCCCTGTGGTCAATTCAATCTTGCCTGTAGCTAAGACATTCAATCACAGAATGAGAAGTTTCACAATTGCACCATGGTTATTGTACATTTGCAGTGCATCATGAAAGAAGCTTGGTTTCTGCATTTTTCAAGATATCTATTAATCACCTATTTGACCATCTTCAGTCTGGAAAAATGAATTGATGTTTTGGAAAAAAGGTCTGGGAAAAGTCTTGAATTTTGGATCCAAAAATCTGCATGAACTCTGAAGAAGATAATCGGAAGCATGATAAATGTGTAGTTCTATCTGAAATTATAATATTACATATTATTTGATAGTGTGCCTGTTTTTGTCAGGGTTGCAAATGCCATGATGTAGCTCCAGATGAGACATGCCTGGATTGCCTCAGAAGCAAATGCAACATAGGAAGGTGTGTAGGCATTTGATCATTGTCATATTAAATTACATTCAAACACATAAAGGGGATTTTCTTACTGTTACATAACAAAATGAATTTTCTAAGCTATGGGGAAATGACTTGTACTAAAGCATGAACTGAAATTAAGTGTATAGTTTGGGGGTTTTTTTAAAATTGTTGCTAGTAAACTAAAATCCTCATTCAGGATCTTTTGCCAAACTTGGAAGGCTGCCAAAAAATTTTTTTGATACTGTCAGGAAAGGAATACTCATAGTTTGGTAATTGAAAAAGAAAAAGTAAAACATTTTTAGAGAAAAACATGAAATAATTCATTGCTTCAGAAAATCAATCACTCTTTGAAATTGTCTTCTAGATCAACTGGTATACGAGATGATCTGGTTTTTCTTTTAGATGAAGAGCTTTGCAACATTCAACTTTGTGCTCTCCATATGGAGATGCGCAACACTGAACAGTTGTTGGCATCCATTGGTCTTCTTGCATACAGGGTAGATTCCCTAGCAGAGGCCAATGCTGCCTTGAAAAACTATGGCCCAGAGTCATTTCATGGCAATCGCATCTCAGTAAAGAAGAAGTCAGATCAACAGTCTGCTATTACAAAGCAGAATATCTATGTCAGTTCAATGTCTGGTAAGACATTTCCTAAAATAATGTTTTCAAGAGATGTTTTCCGTAGGTCTTAGGTAAAATATTTTTTCTTTCTTTTTTAATTTGCTCTCATGCTGTTGTGTTTCAGGTCCAACAGAACGGGAAATCCTTCAACACCTTGAAGAAATTGTAGAACTTGCCCTACCACTGGATAAATTCAAGAAGCCGTATGAAGATGTAAACACGGCAAAAAATTTGATCCTTAACAGAGTTACATTTTACCAGGCTCGTGTTGATGTTAGTAAGAAGCAACTATTATTTTTATACTTGCAACTTGATTAAACATCATGTAGTCAAGTTCACTGGTAATGTGTATTCATTGAGTTCATACATCGTCCAGACGATCCGTCGGAGTGCGCTTTAGGAATCAAATACCTCTGTGAGTATTTCTTTAATTGCTACAGTCTCCTATGTAATTTGCCCATCTTATGACTAATTCCATCACACAGCAGCTTGAAGTTAATGGAGCTCCATTAACTGAAAGCTACTGCATGTAGGAATATAGGTGAGCTCAGGATTGAAGTGTGAACCATTGTTTAATTTTAGCATGTCTGATTCTGTTAGTTAACACACCTTAAAGTGTAGAGTAACAGAATTTTCTATAGTTAGAGATCCATAGGTGCAGTGTAACCCAGTGTTTAATTTAGTTCAAGGTAACTAACATAGGCTGCACTTTAGGTGGTACACCCATGGGTGCAGTGTAACCCAGTGTTTAATTTAGTTAAAGGTAACTAACATAGGCTGCACTTTAGGTGGCACACCCATGGGTGCAGTGTAACCCAGTGTCTTATTTAGTTAAAGGTAATTAACATAGGCTGCACTTTAGGTGGCACACCCATGAGTGCAATGTAACCCAGTGTCTCATTTAGTGAAAGGTAAAGACTGCACTTTAGGTGGCACACCCATGGGTGCAGTGTAACCCAGTGTCTTATTTAGTTAAAGGTAACTAACATAGGCTGCACTTTAGGTGGCACACCCATGGGTGCAGTGTAACCCATTGTTTTCTTTAGTTAAAGGAAACTTACTTTGGCTGCATTTAGGTGGTACACCCATAGGTGCAGTGTAACCCAGTGTTTTCTTTAGTTCACGGTAACTAACATAGGCTGCATTTTAGGTGGCACACCCATGGGTGTAGTGTAACCCAGTGTTTTATTTAGTTAAAGGTAACTACTGTAGGCTGCACTTTAGGTGGCACACCCATAGGTGCAGTGTAACCCAGTGTTTTCTTTAGTAAACGGTAACTAATATAGGCTGCACTTTAGGTGGCACACCCATGGGTGCAGTGTAACCTAGTGTTTTATTTAGTTAAAGGTAATTAACATAGGCTGCACTTTAGGTGGCACACCCATGGGTGCAGTGTAACCCAGTGTTTTCTTTAGTAAACGGTAACTAACATAGGCTGCACTTTAGGTGGAACACCCATAAGTCTAGTGTAGCCCAGTGTTGTATTTAGTAAAGGTAACTAACATAGGCTGCATTTTAGGTGGCACACCCATGGGTGCAGTGTAACCCAGTGTTTTATTTAGTTAAAGGTAACTACTGCACTTTAGGTGGCACACCCATAGGTGCAGTGTAACCCAGTGTTTTCTTTAGTAAACGGTAACTAACGTAGGCTGCACTTTAGGTGGCACACCCATGGGTGCAGTGTAACCTAGTGTTTTATTTAGTTAAAGGTAATTAACATAGGCTGCACTTTAGGTGGCACACCCATGGGTGCAGTGTAACCCAGTGTCTTATTTAGTTAAAGGTAACTAACATAGGCTGCACTTTAGGTGGCACAACCATGGGTGCAGTGTAACCCATTGTTTTCTTTAGTTAAAGGAAACTTACTTTGGCTGCATTTAGGTGGTACACCCATAGGTGCAGTGTAACCCAGTCTTTTCTTTAGTTCACGGTAACTAACATAGGCTGCATTTTAGGTGGCACACCCATGGGTGCAGTGTAACCCAGTGTTTTCTTTAGTAAAAGGTAACTAACATAGGCTGCACTTTAGGTGGCACACCCATGGGTGCAGTGTAACCTAGTGTTTTATTTAGTTAAATGTAATTAACATAGGCTGCACTTTAGGTGGCACACCCATGGGTACAGTATAACCTAGTGTTTTATTTAGTTAAAGGTAATTAACATAGGCTGCACTTTAGGTGGCGCACCTATGGGTGCAGTGTAGCCCAGTGTTGTATTTAGTAAAGGTAACTTCCTTTGGCTGCACTTTAGGTGGCACACCCATGGGTGCTGTGTAACCCAGTGTCTTATTTAGTTAAAGGTAATTAACATAGGCTGCACTTTAAGTGGCACATCCATGGGTGCAGTGTAACCTAGTGTTGCTAATGAGTGACTGTAACCCAGTTCAGTTTTTTCTAGAAAGTGCTGTCCTTTAAGTAGCATAAAGACATGCAGACATTCCCTTTAAGACAATGAAATTGGTGTGAGGGAACATTTCTTCAAGTAGTATGGTAGCACAATGTTATGTAATTAATGCATTTTTCCAAATGTTTAGTACTTTTCAGAAGCTTTAAGCAAGGGCACTTTTGTAAGAGATTTTGGTACACATACTGAGATAATTGATTTGGAAGGCTCAGGTTTGTAGAACAACAGTAGTAATAACACTTTGTTTTTTCTTTGGTTACAAGTTCTGATTTTTTCTCTCACTGGCTAAAGAAGGTTTACCATAATATGATATGACTTTATTGCGTGTTTTATGCTTAAATAAAAAAATTTTGGAAAATGAGTTTGGAAAATATTAAAATAATTAAACTCATTGCTAATGATGAGCTTAGGAGCTGGTACCTTAAAGGTTAGTGTGGGGCCAAAAGCAAGCAGCAGAGAGGAGGTATATATGGCAACCCTGGAAGTGGGAACCACCCCTCAAGCAGCCCACTTACTGACACCATCACACTGAGAAATTTCAGTGGAGATACTTATTGATGATAATACTTACCTTAAAAGAATACTTACAATACTGCCCGCCACTCAGATGATCAGCAAGCAATTATTGCGAAGTTAATACGATACAATGAGCAAGCAAGGCAACAATGCAAATGCAGCATTAGCCACAAACACAAAGGAGACCCAGCAAAAACCCCAAGGGCTGCCACAGAGGTCATTTACTGCAAAGGTGGAGACCACTGACCAGCTTTGCTCCAGTTTAACTTTGCCTAAATGATATTTAGCCACATCAAAAGGAGCTTTTTGTTTTTAATTCCTCAAAAATATTTACCCAAGGAAAACAAAATGTTTACTTGCAACAGTTATTTGAATGATGTGATAACATATAGGGCCTCTCATTACAGTCTTTCTCAGGTCTTATTTCAGTTTTTAGCTATTTTGCAGATATTAAAGCTGACATGGAGTCTCGCCTTATTCAGTGGCAAGGCAAGTTGGATGAGCTACATGTCTTTTTCAAGAAGTTGTGCAAGTCACGCAAAAAGTCACTATTCACTATTCACTATTTTTTTTCTTGCGTTAGATCTGCTTTTTTCGATTCGATTGCACCTTGAATATTTTTATACCGCTACTCCTCTTGCGTTATATTTATTTAAATGAGCAATTTTTAAAAGACAGGAAATGTCCTTCTTTCAATAAAGTGGCGGAATAAAACAATTACACAAAGATATTACTATGATACTTTTTGGTAGGAAATATTTTATTTTTGACCAGCACTGTTATGCCTAATTTTGTCCATAAAGGGACAAAATTGCTCCGATTTTGAGACGACATTACAGCTTTTTGGCAGCGATCGCCAAGAAACTGAATGTGCCACGGAATTACACCCAATTAAGAAAGATATTTTCTCCCTTCCAGCAGTCATTAGAAAGCCGTTTTGTCCCCTCAAAATCAGATGTAGTTCACACGTTAAGGGTAATAAACTGATAAAAAATGATTTACAATTATCCTGTTGTCAATAGGTTCTTATTCACGTAAGCTGGGTCATAAACTATTTCTTGTGGCAGAATCATGGTGAAGAAGTTGTCTTTCATTTTAAAATCGCTGAAATTGTAGTAACTAAACTTTGAATGAAACTATTGTAGGAAGATTCATTACTTGACGAGGGAATTCCGCATTTAATTGCACGCGAAAAGCGATACGCGAAGCGATGAGTGCGATATCGGTTTTTAAGTGCAATTTAACGCGGAATTCACGAGCCAAGTAATGGATTTTCCTTGAATCACATATTTGAATAAAAACAAGATAAAAAGAAAACAGCATTACTTATATTTGTCATGTATACGTGGATGCAAAACAATGTCACTTAGCCCCGCTAAACAACTCCCCTCGTCAACCAATCAGAAGGCGAGATTTTATGCAATGATGCGATTCTATCTGATATTAGGTCTGCTGACTTGGAAAATACTACACCTAAAATTTAACATCAGCAATCTTACGGGAGAAAACATAAAGGCTAGGTCTCTCTGACGGCTTATCTCTGGTTGACATTTTAACCAATTCTCGGACCCTTTCATAAAAACCCAACAAAGACGATATCGCCTTAAGCATTCTTCCCAATGAAAAAATGTCACTGGCAACGCTATAGAGTCGTTCACTAACAACCTCAGGGGCTAAATAGCTTTTCCCTTTGCATTTCATAACGGTGCCGTTTCCGCGGTACAACGTAACAGATGAAACCTTAAGGCTCTTTCCAAAGTCAATAAGAACTGGGCTGAATTCCCCAGTGGCTGAGGGCCGTTCTAGTACAAAATGTTTCCTTTGATGTCGTTATGAAGGTATCCTTTAGAGTGCACGTGGTCTAAAACACTGCATATCTTTTTAAATATAGAAATACAGTTTGCTTTAGTAACTGCGTTGTTATCGGCCGCTTGATGGAGAGTTACACTTTCTTGCTGAACACCATGAAATTGAGTCACAAGGCATAATGGTGAGGCCTTTGTAACAACACCAAAAATCATGGGTAGATGTGGATGGTCCCCCAAAGCAGAAACGACCTTTGCTTCGTGGAGTAAATCTCTCCTTGCTCGTTCTTCATCCTCTGACGTTTCGTTGTGAGTCATTTGGTTGACAGTAACGTCGATGCCTCGATAGCGCCCGAGAAAACACTGTCCAAAGCTTCCACTCCCAACTGAATTTTTAGTCAAGTATTCAATGTTTTCTGGCCTGAGTTCTTTGGGTTCAAATCTGGATCTATTGCTCGCTGTGGTTTTTTTCCAATTAAAAAGGTTTGATGACGTTTCCCACGAGGTTTCTGCGAGACAACTGCGTCGGCACCAACAGCCATTTGAATCATCTTAGCAGCTCTTGAACAACCACCCAAGGCCTCTTTCTTCTCTTCACTGCCTGGTTTAAGCGCGAGGATATGGGGTTTCTTGACATTTTGTGGCTCAAAATATTGGTCCGAAGGAGGCAGTTTCGTTTCCTTAGCCTCAGAAGTACAAGGCACCAACTCATTCGCTTCGCGGTTGAGTGATTGTAGTTCAACATTTTTATTCGTTGAATTCGGCATTTGCTTCCCTTGTTTCCTCTTTCTCCATTCTTTTCTCTGTCTGTTTCTTTCTTCTGGAGTGTTTTTTCATGATTTAATAACTCGCTCTTTTCGTTCTTCTTCATCTTCAAAATCCTTCACAAATTCCGCCATCATTATGTAGCTAATTGATCTATTTCCGAAACACAAATGAGCTCGTGATCGGTGTAAAAGTATAAAACAAAGGCTTGTTGATGTGCAGGAAATTCAATGCTCGTTTTAATGAACTTGATGATATGTGAAAGCCCGAGTTGCTCTTCAATCGTTTCTGGTTTGCTTTCATTACGTGACATTCTTCTGTCAGAAGTGTGTCGGGAAAAACACCTCGCAAGGATCGTACGTGACAACACCCTCCACGCCTCGACTAACGCTAAAAAAGCTCCATACAATTCCTTATAATTTTATTATAAGGAATTGTATAGAGCTCTCCGGGATACTTACAGTGCAAGCCCTGTGTGTCTTCTCATGTTGTAAAACTACCAGCAGACATGGAGGAGAAGATCGTCGAATTCCATCGGTTTGTGTTAAGGGCCCGGAGACGGCATGACTACCAGTTAAGCCACATCCTAAACACGGACGAAACTCCTATGCGATTTGAGCTGCCAGCCACATGAAACCTCGAGTTTACAGGCAACCGAACAGTGCGAGACGAAGTGTTGATGTTGCTGTTATTCCCGGTGGCCTGACGTCAGTTTTGCAGCCCCTAGGCGAGTGCATAAACAAGCCTTTCAAAGCCAAATTCCGAATGCTGCATGAAATATGGATGGTAAATGGCCCGTTCACGTATACCCCATCTGGAAAGAAGAGAGCGCCGAGCAAAGAACTGGTGTTGACCTGGATCGATCGCGCCTGGAACGGAATTCCTCAAGATTTAACTGAAAAGTCGTTCAAATCCTGTGGAATCGCAAATGCGCTAGACGGCTCAAAAAACGATGCAGTATGGGAAGAAGAGAATGAAGAGACGGAAGATGCAGAAAAGATTATTGACAATGAATTAGAGACCGGCAGTGAAGACGAAGGAGAATAAAACATACCTGCAGTAGTATTAGTAGAACGATATACGTGCGCAAGCCCCGAGTCATTGCAAGCAGCTGTGACCTTTATGTGCTCAGGTCAGAGCTTTTTCAGAAGAATGGCCAGTGCACGATCATGATAATCCTTTGCCTGACTCAGGTCACCCAGCTTTTTGTGTACAATACCCAGGCTATTGTAATAACTTGCAACGTGAACATGATCAGGTCCAAGCTTTTTCAGAAGAATGGCCAGTGCACGATCATGATAATCCTTTGCCTGACTCAGGTCACCCAGCTTTCCGTGTACAATACCCAGGCTATTTTAAGAATTTGCAACGTCAACATGGTCAGGTCCAAGCTTTTTCAAAAGAATGGCCAGTGCACGATCATGATAATCCTTTGCCTGACTCAGGTCACCCAGCTCATCGTGTACAATACCCAGGCTATTGTAAGAACTTGCAACGTGAACATGGTCAGGTCCAAGCTTTTTCAGAAGAATGGCCAGTGCACAATCATGATAATCCTTTGCCTGACTCAGGTCACCCAGCTTTTTGTGTACAATACCCAGGCTATTGTAAGAATCTGCAACGTCAACATGGTCAGTTCCGAACTTTTTCAGACGAATGGCCAGTGCACGATCATGATAATCCTTTGCCTGACTCAGGTCACCCAGCTTTTTGTGTACAATACCCAGGCTATTGTAAGAACTTGCAACCTCAACATGCTCAGGTCCAAGTTTTTTCAGACGAATGGCCAGTGCACGATCATGATAATCCTTTGCCTGACTCAGGTCACCCAGCTTTCCGTGTACAATACCCAGGCTATTGTAAGAACTTGCAACGTCAACATGGTCAGGTCCAAGCTTTTTCAGACGAATGGCCAGTGCACGATCATGATAATCCTTTGCCTGGCTCAGGTCACCCAGCTTTTCGTGAACAATACCCAGGCAATTGTAAGAATTTGCAACGTCAACATGGTCAGGTCCAACCTTTTTCAGACGGATGGCCAGTGCACAATCATGATAATCCTTTGCCTGACTCAGGTCACCCAGCTTTCCGTGTACAATACCCAGGCCATTGTAAGAATTTGCAACCGCAACATGGTCAGGTCCGAGCTTTTTCAGACGAATGGCCAGTGCACGATCATGATAATCCTTTGCCTGACTCAGGTCACCCAGCTTTCCGTGTACAATACCCAGGCTATTGTAAGAATTTGCAATCTGAATATGGTCAGGTCCGAGCTTTTTCAAACGAATGGCCAGTGCACGATCATGATAATCCTTTGCCTGACTCAGGTCACCCAGCTTTTTGTGTACAATACCCAGGCTATTGTAAGAACTTGCAACCTCAACATGGTCAGGTCCAAGCTTTTTCAGACGAATGGCCAGTGCACGATCATGATAATCCTTTGCCTGACTCAGGTCACCCAGCTTTTTGTGTACAATACCCAGGCTATTGTAAGAAATTGGAACGTCAACATGGTCAGGTCCGAGCTTTTTCAGACGAATGGCCAGTGCACGATCATGATAATCCTTTGCCTGACTCAGGTCACCCAGCTTTTTGTGTACAATACCCAGGCTATTGTAAGAACTTGCAACCTCAACATGGTCAGGTCCGAGCTTTTTTAGATGAATGGCCAGTGCAAGATCATGATAATCCTTTGCCTGACTCAGGTCACCCAGCTTTTTGTGTACAATACCCAGGTTATTGTAAGAATTTGCTACGTCAACATGGTCAGGTCCGAGCGTTTTCAGACGAATGGCCAGTGTACGATCTTGATAATCCTTTGCCTGACTCAGGTCACCCAGCTTTTCGTGCACGTTACCCACGTGTCCGTAGACAGCTGCAATATCTAAGCCAGGGTCGTGCTCGTCGACCATATCGATGAAACGTCTTGAAGTTTCGTATTCACAATGCATATAGCAAAACACACTCATTCTATGGAGGTCCATCGCATGGTTCTTGATCAAAAAGCCACTCTGGTCGAGTTGAGAAATAACCTTCTTAGAAAAATATCTCTCAAGTTCTCGGGCTAAATTTATCAAATGAGTAACATGTCTGCTGTTTATTAGAGCAAAGAACTCGTCGTTGTCCCTTGATGGACATTTTTCTACAAAACGACTGAATGATCCAATCACTCCACTGACGACCTCGTTGTGCTTATCGTTCGAATGAGCTGCAGCCACAGTCTTAATAGAATTATGTACAACCTGATGCACACGAATGTAAACGTCAGTTTCGTCTCTTTCAAACATCAGCAGGGAGCACCTTTGTATCTTCAAACGAATCATCTCTTTGTCTTGAATTTCTTTATCCACACTTGTAATAAAGTCTTCAATGATATTAAGACTTAATGGTTGCGGTGCACACAGGGACAGGAAATTAAAGGCGTGATGCATGATTTTGTTGGATTCCATAGCTGTTTCTACGGCCAGTGTTGTTGCTGTGGTCATGGACTTTGCATAGCTTGGGTTGACTTCGGCAAGAAATGTCTCCATGGCATTTCTTTGGCCTGTTTCAAGTTTTGCAAGATAGTCTTTCCAGCCAAAATTAGATGTCTGTCGAACTTCTCTGACATAAGTGGCGGCACTTGCCAAGGGGAGAG